CTCCTCTCTGCTTGTCCCTTCGCAGGTTGAGAAGTTAGAGTACGGTAGGTGGAGGAGCACAAAATGACAGAGCAGGATGAAGAGTGCAGGGTGGTGGAGCAAGATGTACTCCTGGACAATAAATCAACACCACTTGACAACAAAACAACAATTCTCACTGTCTTCGTCCCCCCTGTACGTCCCTAGGCTTGTTGTTGCCGCTACTACTGTTGCACCTACAGCTATTCTTGCATCATTTTACCATGCTACATTTTCGCGTGTTGCGCCTTCACAAACATCCATCTAGATGAAAAAATCTATGAACAAATTCGCCTTCAATGGAGTCAAACTTGTTCTCGACTTCTGTTCCATCCAATTTCCGTTCTCCATTTTAGGAATCATTCACTCTGCCACTCCAATCTCCTACTTTTTGTCTTGTCCCTCCAGGGTGATGGCGATTGCATTTTTGAGGCACCAACAGAAAAAAACTCTCTCTGCCACTCCAGTTGTCTCCTTTCAGGTTATGGCGATGGTGAGAGCTCCCCCCTGGTAAGATTTTCAAGTCATTGTAGTTGGAGGATGTACCTCTGACATAGCTGTGGTAAGCTAAATCTGGGACTCTTTGATAGGACGAGCCCACAGCAGAACGAGCCAGTCCTCTTCGCCTCATTTGCTCTCTCTCTTGAAAGCTTTGTGAAAGATCACATATTCTGTGAGCCCTCGGTTTTTTACTAGCCTTTTCTCACTCGTTACTAACCCATCACTGATATACTGTCAACAGGAATTGTTGTAGGCCTCGTCCTTGTTGGTGCAACCCTACGGTTTGCACTCGGCTTTTTGTCCGTATGCGTGCATGCGTGTGTGCATGGAATGGTATGAGGCATGGGATAATATATATTTCATGCTTATAATAGTGTGTGAATGTTGAGTCATGATGTCGAGTGTGTGTGTCGAGTCAATAACGAGTTATCGCTAGTCGCGTCTTACGCGGTCATTTTGTGTGTCCCGCGCGGTTTCTATTTTGTCGCTTGTGTGTCTCGCGCGGTTTCCATTTTGTCCTGGGTCGAACGTTTGGCGTGTCGCAGGTGTGTGCAGCAGACCCATCAAGAACTCAAGGACGATTTTGTGATGAAGAGCCCGAGCCTTGGTGTCAAGCCTCAAGTGATTTCGAAGCTCGCCAAAAGGGTACACCTCAAGATATTGAAGATAGTTACATTACTTTGTGTAGTGTAAAATTTCACTTGATGTAGGCCGTAGTGAAGGGTAGTTTCGAGACCCTTCGTGTTTGGGGACAGTGTGGCACTGCTCCACATCACTGTACCTCGGCTCTTGGGGTTTGTAGGAGCTGGGAGTCATTCCCAACTCGTAACTCTTCCTATCTTGTGTTCTAAGACCATAGTGGCTGCCATAGTGCCGTTCGTTCAAACCGACGCTGTGTCATCAATACTTGGTGAAATCGTGCGATCTAGATTGCGTATTGTAGGCGACGTTAAGACGCTCCAGATCCAAGTTGAATCCGGTCATTTGAAGTTGTGACCAGAACGCTATGAACGTTTAAAGCCGCTGTGCAGAAATCCGACTGTGCACTCTATCTTTCGTTTTAGGCACATAGAAGCCTACTGTGACAATAACAAGTGGTATCAGAGCCCCTTGGAGCAGTTTCGTCAATGGCTGGACCTGAGGAAAGGGGTGGCAGAGGTGCTGGTGGCAGTGGAGAAGCCCAAGCTCAAGGCCAACCCTGTGACTCAGCCATGGCGCCCGTGCAACCAAGTGTTGGCCCATTTAGGGATGAGCCTAGAGTGTTTGGCCTTGACAAGTTCAACGGTGACAACTTTGCTGAGTGGTCCTTCAGAATGGAGAACGTGTTTGACCACTATGACGTGCTGGAGGTGATGGAAGGAGCGGAGAAGCGCCCCGAGAACGACCCGGAGAAGAGCCCGTGGGTGCGGAAGAGCGCACAAGGCTATCTCCTACTTGGGCAAGAGTTGGGGAGCAGCCAAATCCGTCACATCAAGCCATTCCAGCGTGAACCAGAGAAGGGACCAAAGGCATGGGCTGCTCTCAAGTGTGTACACGCTCCTGCAACAGCGGCGGTAGCCGTGGTGTTGGAACGGCAAATGGCGACGCTACGAATTGAGGAAGATGAACCCGTGGAAGACGGGGTGCAGAAATTCTTCGACTTGTTGACGCGGCTTGAGGGAGCTGATTTGAACTACAGTGAGCTCCGGAAGAAGCCAAGTTGCTGGCCCTACTCCCCGAGTCGTGGTCCTTGCTCATCATCAATTTGAATCGCGACTTGCCACACCTCTCGCTTGAAGACGTGAAGCGAGCGATCCTACAAGAGGATTTCTGCCGCCGTAAGTTGGCGAGTGCGGATGGCGCTGGGGCAGCAAGCGTCGGCCGTGGATATGGCCGAGGAATAGGCAGAGGACGAGGGGGAGGAAGGTTTGGAGGCAGCAACTTCGGTGGAGGCCGTGGAAGTGGCGGCTACGGCAGCGATGACAAGAGCTACGATCGCGGTCGCGGGCGATTTGACGGTGAAAGTCATTATTGCCACAAGACCGGACACATGTGGCGCGATTGCTACAAGCTCCCAGATGGATGGACCCCTGCTCAAGGCCAAGAGGGTAGAGGAACAGGAGGAGGGAGAGGAAGAGGCCGTGGAGGCCGTGGCGGTCGCGGAGGTGGTGCTGCAAATATGAAGGGCGAAGATAATGACAAGGACCCGAGCGGTGATCGGTACCCGGGCCTATTCTACTTCGTGTCGACGCAAGTAACGGCTGGTCCAGAGAAGGACGAAGGCTTTGAGGAGCCAGCAGCAGTAGGGAAGGTGACCCTACACCCCCTGGACTATTGGGTGATCGATAGCGGCGCTACCTATAGCATGACACCTCGCCTGCTGAACTTGAACCATCACCGGTGAAGCATGTCACATCGGCTTTGGGGCAGCGAGCAGAGGTGAAAGGCATGGGGAAGGCCATGTTCAAGGGTGCTGATGGGAAGATGGTGGGCCTCAAGAACGTGCTTTGGGTGCCCAGCCTTGCTGCAAACCTGATTTCCGTGCGGCGGTTGGCAAAGGCCGGCATGGACACGAACTGGAAGGGAGCCAAGACCTACACCGCAAGGCTTGGCGATCAAATTCTTTGGGACCTTCATGAGGACAGGGATGTCTACAACGAGATGTGGCAGATCCCTGTGGTCCCTATGCCTAAGGAGAGGCAAGTGGCAGCAAGCGTCAACACCAAGGGTGAAGCAGTTGGTAGCGGCGATAGCGCGGACGGTCGCGCTAAGGAGAAGGAGTCCAAGAAGTGCAATCTTGGAGGGACCAGCAAGGTCGGTGAACCTAAGGAGAGTGTTGCAGCAGCCAAGGAGCAGCAAAAGGGTGAGGAGAACCCCGAGGCAGCAGCTGAGGAGGAGTACGGAGAGAGTATGTGGGGCGCTATTGCGAGCGCGGCATTCTCCAATCCGACTTCGGCTACGGGGGAGTGTGATTGGCTCACCTTGCATCGGCGAATGGTGCATGTGGCCCTACCCATATTGCAGCAGCTAGTGAAGGGAGAGATGGTTGCTGGCATACGTGTGAAGGGGGAGTCGATGAGGTGCTTGGCTGCCCGACGTGCATTCAAGCCAAGTTCACCCGGTTTCCGTTCCCTAGTTCGGAGGCAACGGCAAAGGCACCACTTGATGAGGTGGTGATGGACGTGGTGGGCCCCCTGAAGCTTGGAGCTGCTGGAGCTGAGTATTTCCTCACCATTGTCGACGTCTATACCGACATGACTTGTGTGTATGTGCTGGCTAAGAAGAGCGACGTGGCTGAAATGTTGAAGACGGATTGGTTCCCGATGGTGGAGCGGCAACAAGACCGTCTAGTCAAGTCAATCCGCACCGATCGAGGAGGAGAGTTCCTGAGCAAGGAGTTTGGGTTGTGGCTGAAGAAGAATGGAATTCGGCACTCCCTCACCATGCCATACTCCCCTGCAATGAACGGCATAGTCGAGCGAGCGAACCGCACAATTACGGAGGCGGCACGCGGGTTGCTCATTGAAGCCGGGCTACCCGACTATTTCTGGCGTGATGCGGTGCGGAGCGCGTGTGTGGCCAAGAACAGAGTTTTGACTCATATGGGAGCAGAAAATGGGGTGCCCTATGTGGAGTGGCTTGGAAGGAAGCCAAAGGTGGATATGCTTCGGGTGTTCGGGTGCATGTGCATGGCGCTCGTGCCTAAGCATCTTCAACACAACAAGCTCGGTGCCAAGGCGATATGGGCCGTGCACAGGGGCATGGCTCAAAACAGCATGGGGTGGCTTCTTTGGGACCCATTGACCAAGAAATTCTTGGTGAGCAGGGACTGAAAGTTCATGGAGAACTTCATGTACAAGGATTGGAAGGCAGAGAATGAGGCGAAGATAGGCGTGCGGTTTGGGGAGGTGAAGAGTTCCGGGTTGGAGCATGTAGAGCTGCCTTTGGAGCTGAGCAGTGGCAGCACCACCACAAGGCAATCTTCCCTTGTGAATGGGGGAGAGGAGGCCAAGGATGCAGAGGAAGAAGAGGAGGAGGTGCAGCAAGTGAGCGAGCGTGCACCGACACTTCCTTTCTGCACTACGAGTGCTTCACGGATCCGAGCCACACCGCAGCAACGCCAAGGCCTTCAAGTCCCTGCAGCTGAGGAGGAAGGAAGGGGCAAGAGGAGAGTCCAAGCCCCTAATAGGCTGACGTATGATGCGCTGGGAAAGCAGGGCAAGACAGCCCTGGCTGGAGCGGCAATGATGGTCGGAGATGACGAGGAGAGTGATTACGAGGAGTGTGCCTTCGCGTTCTTCTCTCCGGTGGAGATGCCGGGAGAACCAGCAACTCTTGAGGAGGCCTTGGAGAGTAGTGATGCTGAGGAGTGGAAGAAGGCAATGGAGAGTGAGCTGAAGATCATCGAAGAAAATGACACGTTTGAATTGGTGGAGCTACCGGAGGGGCGTAAGGCGATTACGTCCAAGTGGCTCTTTAAGATCAAGTCGGACGCCGATGGCATGATCGAGCGTTACAAGTCTAGGCTTGTGGTTAAGGGGTACCAGCAGAAGGAGAAGGTGGACTTCAAGCAGCTTTTTGCCCCTATGGTGAAGCCGACGACGCTGCGAACCCTATTCGCGGGAGCCGCCATAAAAGGATGGGTGGTGAAGAAGATGGACATCGTAACGACATTCCTCAACGGCGTCCTAGAGGAAGAGATTTTTATGTCGCAGCCAGAGGGGTTTGACGATGGTAGCGGCAGAGTGTGGAAGCTGAAGAAGGCCCTCTATGGGCTGAATCAGGCCCCTAGGCAATGGTACATGAAGCTACGTGAAGTGCTGGAGGAGATCGGCTTCACTCCCTCAACGGCCGACCACTCCTTGTTCATGCTTGGCGAGGGGGAGCAGAGGAGCTTCATGGTGGTTTATGTGGATGAAATTCTCATCTTCTCACCCTCCTCTGACCTTGTGAAGGAGGTGATGCTGAAACTTCAAGACAAGTTCAAGTGCAAGTCCCTTGGTGACGTGAACTTCTACCTTGGGCTCCACATCAAGCGTGATGTGGAGAAGCGGTGCATGCGGGTGCACCAACGGAAGTACCTGGAGGCCTTGGCTGCCAACTTTGGGCAGAGTGAAGGCCATGTGGCTACTCCCTTTCCCTCTGGGTTCAAGCGTGTGAAGGGACCAGAGGAAGAGAGCGTTGGTGAAGAGGAGAGGCGCCGTTTTCACTCGTTGGTGGGCAACCTCATGTATGCGGCGGTAAAACTCGGCTAGACGTGGCCTTTGCTACCGGGCAGCTGGCTAGGGTTGTGCAATGCCCTAATGAGGAGCAGGTAGCAGCTGGAATGAGGGTGGCCAAGTACCTTGGGCCAAACACCGACCGTTGGGCTGCAATACTCGGCGGCGGCGCAGAGGCGCCAAAAGGGCGCAGATGGAGTGGAACCCGGGCGTTTGTTCCTCACTGCCTACTCGGATGCTTCGTATGCATCTGAACCAGAGGACATGACAAGTGTGGGAGGCTTCATCTGCTGTGTTGGTGGAGGCCCAACTGCTTGGGAGAGCAAGAAGCAGGTGGACGAATCATTGAGCTCGGTGGAGTCCGAGTACATGGCACTCTTCCGTGCCGTACGGGAGATTGTGTGGCAGCGGCGTTTGTTGGCTGAATTGGGGGAGGAGCGCCTCTGTCGTGTCGAAGCACTAAGTCTTAAGCGAAGCGAAACACAAGTGAAGCATCGGCGAGTCAACCCTCGGAGGTTGAGTAACTGCTGGAGGTTACGCGAAAGTCAAAGGTCAGCGACCTTTGACCTGACAAGTACAACACAACAGCAAGGACAAACAGCTGACTCGTTATTGAGCAGTTGCCCGAGTCGTCACTGTATCGAACCGCAACAGCAACAGCAAAACAGTTGTTAGTTATAACCTTTCATATTCCCTTGTACTCTTATAAAAGCCTGTATCTCCCTGCTTTAATCAATCTACTTTGCCCTCACATACCAGCTCAAGGTGGTTCATAGGCTTATCATTAAACGCTTCTGCTATTACATTGTTCCTACTCAGAGTTTAGTCATGCAAAGATCCTAAGGGCTTTTCTCATCCCTACATGGCATGAGAGCTATCAAGACAAATTCAACTACAATTAAGACACCTACATCATCACAAGGCATGGCAACGCAGAAGGAGAGAAGCTCCTCTAACGGCTCTCCTGGTACTACTCCTACTCCACCTCCTGCCTCTGGCCTACAGACAGAGGAGGGCACAGCAACAAGACCGGCAGCTGGGTCCACCGAAACTCCCGCAAATCAAGCAGCGGCCTTCGACCCAGACATGATGGAGAAATTCTTCTCCTTCATGTCCTTCTACGAACAACACCAGCAAGGGGCACCTACGCAATCAAACAACAGCAACAACAACATCGCAACACCGATGAGCCTCGACGGTTCATCCTATGCACGAGGAAATCAGCAACAACAACCTACCTTCACCCTGTACGAACCTCAGCGCGGTTCCGTCAGCTTCATGCCGCGCCAGCAACCTTCACCTGAGCAAGAGAAGACATTAGATGCACTTCAAGTTCAGTCGCAGTTTGCGCACGTTTTAAAACTGCAGACGTTAAGACCGTTCGACGGAAAGGACTTCTTTACCTGGTCATTTGAATTCGAGCTAATGATGGAAGGCGCGCAGATTCTTGGCTTCTTCGACGGGTCCCTGCCATATCCAACGGACGGGACACAATACGACAAGCAGCAGTACACATATCAATCTATGATGGCGTATACAATCCTACTGCGCAACGTCACACCGAACCAGCAGCAGAATATTCAGTCTTACCGAGGATACGAGAACTCTGCCGAGCTTGCGTACAACCACCTGAAGAACCTGTATCAGGCAACAGACAGCATCAATCAAAGTCGGTTAATGGCACAACTGACAACGGTGGAAATGAAACCAGGCGAAAAAGGGATGGCGTATATCAGTCGCTGCCGCGAATTGCGCGACAAACTCCTTCGATGCGGAGGATCGATATCGGAAGACGCCTTCGTCACACTCGTTATTGGGGGCCTTGGTCCTCATTGGCACTCCACTCGCGCCATACTCCGAGCCCACGGGAAGATCTCCGAAGCAGCACTCTGCGCCGAAATCCACGCTGAGCAACAAGACATGGACCTGCAAGAAGAACGACACAAGAAGAAAACGTCAGCACCTGAATTTGCGTTCCACACTCAACGGCGCTACAACAACAATAACAACCGGCATCAACCAAAACCCGTACCTCCGTTCAGTCATCTCTGCAAGACTTCAGGACACCCTCGCACACATTGCCCGAATCGACAGCAGTCAACGCCGCAACGCCAACTTCGTCCTTCAAGCAGTCAAGTGGCGTCCACGCAAGCACACCCCACGAATCAACTGCAGCCTTCAACGACATCGTCAGCACAATCTGCACAAGGAGCAAGGAACATCGTCAGTTGCATGGCAAGACTGATTGACTCCTGCATCACCGAGTCACCACCACACTACTCACCAAAGAACAACTCGACAACAGTACCCCTCGCCGCGAGTCACTTCAACCAAATCCGACATATGCAGCCATCTCTCAAAGCGAGCCGTTCGGGAAAGATACCTGGTTCTTGGACAGTTGCTGCGGACAGCACATGTGCTCTTCGGGACGATTTGTTCAACGCAAACACCAACTTCAACGCGAAGTCGTCATCACCGTCGCCAACAACCAAAACCTGCGCACACGACGACAAGGTGTGGTGCAACTTCAGTCACGAGAGACAAACGTCATACTGCAAATGTCAAAAGCGTTAATTGCGGAGGGACTCGGCTACAACTTACTGAGTGTCAGTCAACTGATGGCGAAAGGCATCCACCTCGAAGCAGATAGCACAACACAGGAGTTCAAACTGTACCACGGGAGAGGAGGTCTCTACATCGGCAAGGCTGTACTGAAGAACAACGTGTTCGTCATCGACTTTGTTCCAGATTTAGGCACCGCCGACAGCGACGGAATCGTCACCTTCACCTCTTGGACACACCCACCGGATCTTGATCCAGACTTCAGCCCCGAAGGATTTTGGTACTCGCACACCATTCCTGAGGCAGAACGAACAAGAGTATTAGCAACAATTCAATCGACAGCAGCAGAAACAACATTGGCAGCAGCAGAAACAACATCGGCAGCAGCAGAGACAACATCGGCAGCAGCAGAAACAACATCGGCGGCAGCAGAAACAGCATCGGCACCAATCGCAGGTCCTTCAACACCACCGATCTTCATCAACGACACTCCACCGACTCCCGCGCAGCAACTGAATCCGACTCAACGAGAAGTTCATCGAATCGCCAACTTCACCGCCAGCTTTTACTCCAACTCCGACCTGTATCGACGCTCATCCGGACATCGCGCCACCGAAGGAACCTGGCACGCAAGAATGGGACATCCAAGCAAGACGGTGTTAAATAACACAATAAGAGCAGGCGTGCTCGACAAAGATTCCCTACTTCTAACTGACGGCAGAGAACTCCAGCGAGTCTGCGGAACATGCTTCACCTGCCCTGAAGCCGACTTACTACATCAGCCGTTCGTCTCTCACCACAACCCGAGCGCACCAGCTTACGGACCACTTGAGAAAGTGTACAGCGACATCTTGTACAGCCGCGAACCCGGACAAGGAGCTCATCACGTTCATCGATGCCGCCACACGGTACGTTTGGCACCTCAACCTTTCGAGCAAGGACATGGCTTTCGAGGCTTTCATCGCTTGGCTCCCAGTAGCAGACCGAGAATCAGGCGTGAAACTAAAGAGCTTCCAGTCAGACGGGGGAGGAGAATACACCTCACAGAGGTTCAAGCAGTACCTGGCAGAGATGGGGATCAAGCGGCTCATCTCCCTTCCCTTTGCCCATCAACAGCAATGCGTAGCAGAAAGAATGAACAGGACCCTCCAGAACACCATGCGCAAGCTGTTACGTGGCATGCACTTACCCAACCACCAGTGGCCCGAGGCAATGGACCACGCAGTGATGCTGCACAACTTGCTCTCGTCATCATCGCTCCCGAACAACGCATCGCCGCATATGCTGTGGACAGGAAAACTGGGCAGCACAAAAATGTTAAGAGTTTTCGGGTGCATGGTACAGTACCGACCCCCATCTGCACGAGCTGGTCGATTCTCCCAACGCGCACAGTGGGGACTACACCTGGGCATCGAAAAACATTACAACGGATGGAAGATTTTCGACATCGACACAAAGGAAACAGTAGCAGCACGTGATGTCATCTTCTACGGAAACCTCACCCTGTGGACGTACCTTGCCAACGTGGAAGAAAACAATCCAGACCTCTCGGGCGGATTTCTTGGCACCCGAGCCTTCGCCTCGGCAGAAGATGAAGCTGACTAGGATGAGCAGAACGTGGAAGGAGCCTCGGAGGAAGCCGGACCTCTTCACCACTGTTCAGTCGATGTTCCGATGGACGACAAAAATCCACGCGACAGCATCAACGCCGAAGTTTATTATCACTTCGCCGACAATGGTTACGTTACACCTGCACAGGTCAACACCGATGAAGGAGGACGCGTAGGACCAAATTTCAACCCAACACCAGAAGCGGGTGACGAAGCAGTTTATCCCGAGGATACTACACTTCCCCGCTACACACCGAGTGGACTCCAGATACTCGGCCTCGTCACCGCGGTCCACGGCGTCGCGCTTCCTAAGGAGCCTGCCACGGTTCAGCAGGCTCTGGGGGGGGAGCATAGGGAGAAATGGCGAGAAGGCATGGACAGGGAGCTGAAAGCACTGGAGGAACACAACACTTGGAAAGTCGTTCCCATCAGCGTGGCACAAAACAAGACAATACTCACCGGAAAATGGGTCTTCCGTGTGAAGACAAAGGCAGATGGCACCATCAATAAGTTCAAAGCGCGCTGGGTCGTACGCGGCTTCGACCAAGAACACGGACGCGACTTCACTGAAACGTTCGCGCCGGTCAGCCGACACACTTCACTGCGAATTCTTCTCGCGATCGCCGCCATGAAGAAAAGGAAGCTACGACAGATTGACATCGCCAATGCCTTCCTCTACGCACCCGTTGACGCAGAGATCTTCGTTGAACTACCGCACGGGTCAAACGGAGAACCTAACAAGATCTGTTAGCTGCTGAAGTCCCTGTATGGCATCAAACAGGCAGCGAGACTGTGGCAGCAGTATCTGCACGCCAGACTTATTCGCATCGGATTCTGCCAGCTATCGCACGACCAGGGCATGTACTGGCTCACAAAGGGCGACGACTACATTCTGCTCATCGTCTACGTGGACGACCTGCTCTACATCGGCTCAACTGACAACGTCACTACCTGGTTCGAAGGGGAGCTGCAGCAGGACCTCACTCTCACAGTATCATCGACCGTCATGCAATACCTCGGCCTCAACATCCCGGAAGAGGAGGTCGCAATCTACCTCAACGCCGCGAAATACGCCAACACCA